TGTTACTCTGTGTTACAAAGATGTTACAGCCAGGGAAGGTAGGAAATCGCACAGCCTCAGCAAAAACCCTGAGTCAGCAGTGTCTGTGCTGAGAACTGTCTCCAGTCTTTTTCAATCACCTGATATTCCCAGGCTAAGCAATTTTATTGATGCTATTCATTCTTCTTCCAAAGGACTCACAATTTCTTACATAACATTAAACCTATTTAAAAAAAAACAGAAAAAACCGAGTCAAGCAAAAGTATAACGGTTGAATGCTACATGTCCTCTCCCAGTCTCTGTATTGGTACCATTTCCTCTGTAGAAATTAAATCCCTGCTGCCATTCCTAGTGATTATGCCCAGAAGACACTTGCCTGTGTACTAGGTTTCCATAAGGAATGGTTGGATTACAGAAAAGCTTATTTTCAAGTTTTGTAGGGAAGAATTTATTTATATTACTGAGGTTTTCATTGCTGGGCAGAGAGCTGACTAAAATAAGTTTACTGGAGCTTGAGCTGAAACAATTTTATATTCTACCTTAATCTTTGGAAGTTTGAAAGTCTGGACAAAAGCAGAGAAGAATTGAGGTAAAATGAATGTGACAGCTGCCTGCTTCACTAATTAGCTGGAGCAAAATGAGGGGATGAGTGCGACCTGAAACCTGAGATTGAGTGCTCAGTTTTAGGTGTTACATGATGTATGGCCCATTCATACAAGGGTTTAAGGGGAGAGAATCTCATTGCCAAATAAAAGATCCAAGAGTGTAGCCATGATATTTTCTGAAAAATCCTTTCTTTAGGAATTTTTTCTCCTGAGAAGCTGAGAGGCCTCAGGAACAAAATGTAAACAATGGTTATCTGCTGCTGTGGAATGCAACAGGTGGATCTGTGACTGGTCTCATAGAGTTGTTTCTAATTAATGGCCAATCACAGTCAGCTGGCTTGGACTCTCTGCCCGAGAAACAAGCTTTTGTTATGATTCCTTTCTTTTCTATTCTTAGCTAACCTTCTGATGAAATCCTTTCTTCTATTCTTTTAGTATAGTTTTAATGTAATCTAGATAATAAAAGAATAAATCAAGTCTTCTGAAACATGGAGTCAGATCCTCGTCTCTTCCCTCATCCTAAGACCCCTGTGAACACCGTCACACAAGAGCACAGTACACAGGCTCACTTTTTCACATGCCCACTCTTGACAGTATTTCCAGCCCCGTGGCCAGTCCTGACTTTTCCAATAGTGCAGTATAATCCTGGCTGGTTGAAAATGTCCTAAAGACCAAGAGAATTCCTGCATGCTGGTACATTGTTGCTGATACACAACAGCTGAACATCAAAGTACAGTGTTGGTTGCTCACCTGTGACCTCATTCAAAGTCAGAAGGAAGTGTCTGTGGCTTTAGAAGCAGATGTGATGCAGAGTTCCAGTCCTCCCCAAAAAATCTTCTCTCTTCAAAATGGGTCAACAAGTCATTGTCGAGAATATTTACCACTATGGTTTCTTAATGAATTAGGGAAGTTCCCTGTAATTAGATTTCAAAAGTTTATAGGTGAGTTACATGATAGGATAGACACTCAACTCTTGGTGTGGTACCAGGGAGAAAAAGTGACCTGTGAACAATTTCAAAATAATTTCCTTAATTAATTATACTTGAAAAAAATAGAAAATTATAGAAGATTAAAGGTCTTTGGTAAGTTTTAATTAAAATGAAAGCAGAGGACATATTTTCTTGTGAGAGTTTCATATTTTAAACAGTGCTACTAGCCTTAAATATGAAAAATATCATTAAACCTATTAAAAATCATGAAATAAGAAAGGGAAATTACTTCCCTCTCATTTTTCAGATGCATTTTTTCCAGTTTACTCTTTCTCCACAAAGCAAGACTCTCCAGTGATGGTTTCATCCAGAGTACCACATTTTAAATGAAAGGCACTTTCCTTCCACTGATCTCTCCTGCTGTGCAGGTCAGGGTAGCCCATTTGAGAAGGGGAATCTAACCAAGCAATTTTCCTGAGCCTCACCCTAAGTGATGCTTCAAGACCTTGCTTTTGAAAAGTCTATTTTATTTCCTCCTCAAACAAGAATAAAAATAACCCCTTCCTCAAATGTAGCAGAAAACACAGAGCTGAAGTATCTTCTGGACTTCAGTTGTGGACTGGAGTAAGATCCTGGAGCACCAGCCCAGGTTTTCAGCCCCATCTTTCCATGGGATGTATGGCTGGGTGTGCATCTCCCATCCAGGGTGTGGTGAGCCAGGGAAAAGAGGTGGTAACTGTGACTAGTCTTTGTTCAATGCAATCTCATAACAGAAACACAAGACCCTAGGAATGGGAGGCATTTTTCCACTTCCAAAGAAATCTGTTTGATGTGTTACAAGGAACTACTGAAGCCATGACTGGGGCTACTCCATAGCTCTGTGGCACCAATAGACCTGGGAGGAGGCTAGGAATGATCTGATGAACATGGGAAATGTAAAGTCTGCTGTGCTAGTGTCTAGAAACATCTTGGCTGTTTGCTTTTGGGCTGGACCATACTCAGAGTAAGACAGAGGGATGAAAGATAGTTGTAACTCACAGCTGCTAACAAAAGGGTAAATAATGCAAAAGCTTTAGGAATGTCATAAAACCAGAATTTGCAAAACATGTTTTTTGTGAAACTTAATGAACTTGAAATATGCATTTCAGCATCTCAGTGTCTGAAAAATAGCAAGGTAAACTGAACAACTGAAACAGCCTCAAAAGGAGGACATGATGGCAAAACCAAACAGTAGCATGGCTGAGATGGCTAACAATACAGATGGGAGGCTAACTTAAGGTTTTCTATGAAAATAGGTATGTCCCACTGTATGGTTTCAAATAAAAGAGCAGGAGGACAGAAGAGATGCTGTAATCACTGCATAGGAAAGGGTAGAAGAAAGATTCAGCATCTAATTCCTCATTAATCTGCCTGATTTTGTTTAAATATCCATCAGGACAAGGGATGAGGTGTGCTCCTCATGGTGGTTTGATCTGATGGGCGCGGCACAGCATCTGCTTAGGTCATGCACCCTTTCCATGGGGCTGGAGCCACAAAAAGAGGTCATACAAGTTGGATCTGTGTCTGATGAGTGAGTGACCAAAGGGATGGAGAGGTAACACCTGCCAGAAGGACAAGAGGACAGGGGATCTGAGTGCCTGTCCACAGCTCCTGTTGTGGGTATGGGACTTCAGTTCTGATGGATGAACTGGTGGGGAAACCTCAGTTAGAAGCAGGCTTTGGTTATAAGACTGTGTTTAACACCTGGGGAGCAGTTAGTGGAAATGCATTTCAGGGAGACTCAATACTTCAAATCAGCCTATCCATCAGGATTCTCCCAGTTTGGTCTTTAACATCTGTCCTTTGGTTTTGTAAAACTCAGCCTTTCATCTTCTCATTAACCTGTACCCTCACTGGAACTATTAGCTTGAAATGTAAGTGGAAAAGAGTTTCAAAATATATTCTTGAGTAGCCTTGTGGTACATTTCGGTGTGAACTAGACTGTCGACATCCTGGATCCAGACTCAGTTTCTGCTGCCTGCTGCAGTCAAGATGCTTTGGAGGCTGGCCATGGGAATGGGTACCTGAGAAGAGCAAGGAAAAGGAGGTGGTGATGATGGCTCCAGGGCTCAGCTTCGAGGCCACAGATCTGTGCAGTGCTGATGTAGCAGGTGTCTAAGGGCAACTGAGGCAGGACTGAGACATGGAGGGATAAATTCATGCTGCAGAGGCATCAGAGGAGGCTAAAGAATAAACCTCGTTCCGCTCAGCTTTTAACTGCTTCCTTTCAGATGTAAGAAAAAGATCTGGGCATTTCAGACCATGAGGTTAGGTTGATATTGGCTCTTGTCCTGAGAACCCTGAGGCAAAAAGAATAAAGCCCAGCCAGATGGATGCTCACCCTCAGAGCTCTCAGATATCCACTCTCAGAGGCAGAGCTGAAGCCTTGGTTTTCCAGGTCTCTATTCTCCTCTTTGTCAGCTGTGTACCTTTTGGGTATTAGAAAACCAAGAGTTTACATTTGTACCACTTCTGTGTTCTCATCCATTACTGTCTACAGATGGGCTGCAAATCACTGTCTAAAGAGTGCAGTGTCCTGTTTGGAGCACTGCATGGCATTTCAGACTGAAGGTGCAGCACTGCCTGCATGTTAGCAGAAGAGCCGTAGGAAAACGGAAATCACCTGGATGGATACATGACCACAGCTCTGGATATTTTACCAGATTACAACCTTAAATACAGATGATATTTTTGAAAAACAGAATTTGGAAATCAGGCATGTGATAAATGCTGTATTGGTCCTATACAGTTTCTGATCTCTCAGGGAGGATTGCACAGTGATGTGCAGATGGCCAGTGACTCCAGTGGGCCACTGTGTGGGGAAAAGTATTTTCAGGGTAGGAGCCACAGGTGGTCAGTTCTTTGGTTCTGATACAATCTCTGATCACCTGTGTGCACCAGTCAGCAGCAGTGAAACCAGTCTTGTACCACAGAAGATTTGATGGTTTTCTGCCATCAAATTGTCAATCAAGTGAGTGCGTAATAATTAGGACAGGAGGCACAAACTCCTACAATTCTCAAATATTTTTATGCAAAAAGAAGTCAGGATTCCTACCCTGGTAAAAGCCCCTGCTTTGCCCCACATGAATATTTGGTTTTTTTTATAGGAAACTAAAGATTATGATGGCCTTGAAGTTGTATTTGTGGGCTTTGAAGTGGTTAGGTAGTTCTCAGAAGAGGATACTGGAAAGTAAGAGACTTGCTGATGTCATTTTTATTTCACCACCAGTACCCCAAAAAAAAAGCTGAGAGAGATGTTGGTGGCCCTATATAAGGTGCAGCTCACCTCCTGCAGAGCACACCAAGAATCACAGCAAAGGTGAGGCTTGCAGCCCTTGTGCTGCTCTCACTTTGACGCGCTCTCCCCGGTGCTAACGCTGCCTTGTCTCCTCTGCAGTGCTGAGCCCGCTCTGCAGCTGCTGGGACGGACACTGCCGGACCCCGAGCCATGGCCTCCCTGCACACCTCGGCCAGCAGCTTCCCAGGATGGCTTCTCTTCTGCTGCTGTTGCTGCCTCCCTCTTCTCACCAGCTCTCTGCCTCTGAAAGGAGCTCCCGGTGCCCATCATGCCTGCAGGCTCAGGAAGGTCCACTTCCAGCAGCCCTACATCAGGAATCGCACCTACACCTTGGCCAAAACGGTACAGTCATTGTATGCTCTTCATGGTGGGGTCTGGGGACCTACTGCTCTCTTGGTGCTGTGACTTCCAGCCTTTGGCATTCCTCCCTCTCTCCCCTGAAAAAAAGGAGTGGATTGGCAGTTAAGACAGAGGTTGGGTGTGTGGAGCAGGTCTATTGCCTGCTGGCTGTGCAGCCAGGGGAAGCTGCTGCCTCTCCTCCTGCTGCTCCCCAAGGGAAAGGCAGCCCCTGCAACACCACAGCTGCTTCTTGTCAAGCAGCTGCTGCCAAAGTGGGTAAATTGTGAAATATGACATTAAATTTCTCCGTTTGCTCAGGCCATTTGGAGCTGGGCCTGTCCATGACTGCAGTCACAGCCAAGCAGATGCTCTGGTGTCCTACAGTGCTCTGCTGGGCAGGTTTCCTGGCTGCTTTTGCCGAGGGTGGGTGTCCCTGGGTGCACAGCACCGAGCACCAAGCTGCAGCACTGTGGGCCACTGTGAGGTCGGCCACCTGCAGTATCTGGTTTAGTCACCATAACCACGATGACTTCTGACTTTCAACTGGGGGATATGAGTTCAGACCTCAGCTCATTTATTTTCCTATGATACTGACCCTGAATCTCACCCAGCTGAGGGGAGAAACAAACACGATATCCAGGCTTATCTACCTGTAACAGACTGTGGTGTCCATTCCCTCATTTCACCTGCATTTTCGTTGCTGATGAAAACTTCTGGGTTTATTATTAATTTTTAAGTAAGATTCCCAACACCACCTGACTCTTCCTTTTTCCTCTCAGGCCAGCGCCTCAGACAAGGACACGGACAACAGATTGATTGGACAGCAGCTCTTTGCTAACATCAGGGTAAGCCTTACATGAGGAGTCTGCTCTTTGCATCCCTCTGCAGCACTTACGATCTCTTGCCTTGATTTAACATTGATTTACTTTCATACATAGGAAAACAACCGCTGCTACATGATGAAGAGCGTTGTGGAGCTCGTAGTAAAAGATGTTCTCCTCACTGAAGTCAAGAGCCAGTACGCTAATGTTGAGGAGGTGGCACAGTTCTTGGCATCCCTGACCTCAGAGCTCAGCAGCTGTGTGAGTAACACTGCATTTCTCTCCACCTCATTGCTGCTCCTAAATCTCAGAATGCTACAAGCAGTGGCAAAAGGCAGTGATATGAAAGGAAACCTCAGATCAAAGATATGAAAGTCAGAGTTAATAGAAAGGTGTGAAAAAAAAAATAGTAACTCACTGCATATATCTGTCCATCTTATGTCTGATGTTTCCTTTCTTTTAGCAATTCTCAGGAAAGGGGGACCACATTGAAAAGAACCTGGAACAAATGAAGAACAAAATGGAACAGGTACATTTTCCCCAGACGTTTAGAAAAAGCAGTTTCAAACCCCAGTCTTTTAGCTGGATTAAGGCTGACCTAATTATGAAACAAACTTGAGATTATTTAGGACGTGAAGCTTACAAGGGCATGAAATAGGAGATTAATGGTATTTCCCCTTCTAGCCCTCCCTCACTTGTCCTGTTAGCTCTCTACACATGTTATGGGAATTTAAACCTTAAAAAATTAGGTTTCAGGAAACTTATATGCTAGTCTAGATTTGAACAAACTAATTTATATCTTATGATATAATGACACTAGCAGAACTGTGTAAGAAAATTAGGAAAGTAAATTATTGATTCACTTTCTGTGACAATCCTAATTTCAATTTTCCAAAAAACCCCAAACCTATTTGTTAAGATTTGCATTCTGCTCTTTTCTAGTTGGGAGAAAATGGAAAGACTAAAGCCATTGGAGAGCTGGATTTACTGTTTGACTACATGGAAAATGCCTGTACTGATGCCCCAAAGAAGGGAGGGAACAAGAAGAAAAATTGAAAAAATTCTGGACCAGGCTTGAAGAGATGTCTCTGCAGATCTCTTGCAATAACTCAAATTGATTAGCTGCAACTATGTCCATTCCCCCCAGATGCAGTATATGTTTCACTTGTGTCAAAACTAGAAAATTAAGTGGGCAGAGACAGGATGGATATTGCTGCCTTTGAAAATGAGAACTCCAGGACATTGCCTCTTGATTGCAACGCAGGACATTAGTTATTTACAAAAGCACTGTTCTGTCCTCCTCATCCCCACAGGAATGAGGCAACCATTTCTGTCTTTTATGCACTGAAATTTGACACGTATGAATCAGCTTTGTTTAAGGCAGTGATGTTTTGATGTGATGTTTTAGCCAGGATATTTTGAGCCTCCTAGCTGGAAATCTCTTTTGCATGTGTTGCCCCCTTCTGACGTTTGCCTGAAAAGTTGGTATTTCAGGCTATTTCAGAAGTAATTTTTGTCTTTTGTATTTAACGGTAACTTATTTTAAGGTAATAATTATAAAATACTTTTATTTATATAGATTAATTGAAAAATATTCAAGGAAATGTATTTATGAAGCTTTACCAGAAATTAACACTCCTGTGTGATATTTATATGCAGATGGAACGTTTTATAAATGCTTTAATTTATTATAATAAATACTTTGGTCCTCAAATATTGCCATTTGCAGAGCTTTTTGTCTTTTCTTCAAACACAAGGGAGATGACACACACTGCACCTGTGGAGCTGCTGGACTAGTGGCTGTGTTCTTGTGCCCAGGAAGGATGCAAGCTCTGCCTGGGGCTGTGCTTCTTCACCATGAGCCTGAAATTCTGGCTTCCCACAGGCCAGGGCTTAGTGGGCAGCATGTCAGTCAGCCTTTCTTGTAGGGGATGGTGGGAAAAGCAGCATCACTCCTGAAAGCCATTGGTTTGGTTCACTGGTTCTGCCTCGGTGCATGCAGAGACAAGATCCCCCCTTGAATTGCCGCTGCTGAAAAGTCCCAAACTGTCCCCATGGGCCAGATGAAACAAACAGGCAGCAGCTGCTAATGAAAACTCAGAGCTCTGCTTTCCCACTGCCCATCCACAGCGTACTGAGCACAAATGGTGCCCTGCAGCATCAGGGAGCTGAGAGTTCTTCAGAAGAGAATGTTTGGTGCCTATTCTCCACACAAACTCCAAGGCAGAAAAACCCCCCAAGTCCCTGAAGCACTGTTTAGTCTGTGTTTATCCTGTCATGTCCTTGAGCAGTGTCTCCTGGAAAGACAAAAGAGTTGCTCTGGTGTAGCCAGGGAAATTGGTGATTGGACCAAGGCTAAAGGGGTGAAAAGCATCCAAATAATCAGAAATACGTAACAGCAGATTCCAGCAACTGCGGAAGTCTTCTTGAGCGAGGCCTTACCATTTATTCATCAGGGCAACAAGTATCATGTCCACATTTAAAAAGTGTTGCTCCTGAGCAAGAGCAAATTAAAGATGGATTTAAAAGCATCCATCCTTACCTGTTTTGAACGTAGTTTATGTGAACTGAAATCACAGCACTTTCTTGTGGAAAATCACATATTTGACCAGCATATGATCCATTTGGGTGATGGATGCCTCTTACCTGTCAAACTAGATTCATTCAACATGATTTACTTTTCCCCACACTTTCATTTGCATATCACAAGACATGATTTACATGCCTAGTCACAGTCAAGGCAGAAGTGACCCATAAATGACAGGCAGCCAGGATCTGGTACTGCATGACAGTTTCAGGGATTTAACCTTTATTACATATTCACTTTGGTATATATTTCCTCTCTTCTGGGATATGGAATGATGTTGTCAAGAGCTATTGGCCAGCATCCTTTCTCTTATCATTCAAACTTGTGATAACTAACGCAAAGGAAGGGAGTTTAACACCAAATGAATAGTTCACTTCACTGACCTTTGAAATACACAGTCTTTCCTTGAACTACATCTTTCTCCCTTCACAGTCCGTGGAGGATAAGAGGAATTATACAGGTGTCATTTCCCTGGTCTGCATTAGAAGTTTATAAAGGTTGTGGCTTTGGGCAGGATAACACAATTTACCCTAAAAGTACCTGTTTTCTTCCTTAATGATAAATAAACACCAGACCACGAGCCACATACATGCTGTTCCTTGTTGATAAAATCGCTTCACAAATGGATGAATAACTTATTTCCTCCTTCTGCTTCCTTTAGGTCTCTTCTACACTGTCCTTACCGAGTTACCCTACCCAGAAATGTCAAATCAGTCTCAAGTTTTCCACACTGGGCAGATTAAAATCCGTTTGTCCACAAAAGCGTAAAAATGAAGTTGACTAATTATTAACTTCTCCAAACCTAAAAGCCACCAGTTGGAAGACTCTACCACAGAAACCTCATGAGCTGGAGTCCTGGAAATGCCACACAGCAAAATTTGTAGAATTTCCTTCTCAGATTTTCTTTCAGGGTATGTGTGACTTGAGGATGTGTGAAGGGTGGTGGTGATGGTCAGTTTTGAACAAAAGAAGTAGAAGTTCGAATAGGTTTCCCTTAAATGGAGGAAATGTCTGGGACAAACAATTATTGATCAAAAGAAAATAAAAATGTAGTTTCAGTCAGGCAAATTGGGTTTTAATCCAGTTAATAGTTCCAGCTCAAAAAGGGAAAATCTTGCTGAAATGTTTTGTTCTGACATTTTCTAAATAGTTAGTGTTTTGGTTTTATGCGCATTTCTTTCAAAGGTTGAAAAGAGATTTGTAAGCAAAATGAGCTGTTTCATTTTGAGTTGGACAAGTGCTTTGAGCCTACACAAAATGAATTATTTTGGCTTAATTTTCTGGTTGGGCCACTAAAGAGAAACTCCATTATTCATGCAATTCTAATTCCCGTTGCCCTATTTTCATTTCCATTTTCTGCCTCTAAGTCACGGACTGTTTGGAATTCCCAGAGATCCTCGACTAGCACCCTTAGGGAAAGCCCCTGCTCCACATTGAGGACACCTCCCCTACAGGGGCTCCAGGACCTCTTCCTGGGCAGAAATTCACAGACCACTCTATTGTCAAATTATCGTTTCATCGACTCTTCCTCCCCTTCTCTTACATTAGGTGACCAGAACAGGCACCTTCTTTTCCTACACAGATAATTGTAAAACATTTATAAGACTGCCTGTGAAATGTCATATAGTGAAGAGAGAAGAACCCAAAGCATGAACAGAAGTTTCCACATCCTGCTGAGTAAGTATTGGTGACAGTTTAAGAAACATGTCTTAAATATATTGCCTGGAGTGTTACTCATTTAAGAGATTAGATATTCAATGTGTGAATATATACTCCCCAAGTGACCTAGAATAATACAGGGTTGATATTTCCAATTTGCTACTGGAAGTATATTCTAGGCAGTGCAAAATGTTGAAGCTATCCTGTTCATAAATCAGTGGCATGTGATTATGTCAGCTTGCGCTTTAAAGCACACTTAGCTACACCATCAGCTGCTCTGAAGGAGGTATGGATTGCAGTGAACAGCAGTAAATGCCTGACAAACTTTTCAGTCAAGGTAATGACCACAGAAAGAAGGAAAAACCTTCAATGCAGTTCTGTGGGTATTATTGGCAGGCCACTATCCCCCCCCCAAAAAAAGTTAAATAGAATAACATATTTAAGATGGAAAGTAATGCAACCTCTCTGGGGATCCAGACCAGGATTCTATTTCTAACAAACATTCAAGAGTGTTTGTTAGAAAGTCAGATTTGGGTGAGGTAACTAAATACAGACTGTGCCAAGGCTGGTGGCACTTCTGGGGCTGCATATGATTCATAACACGTATCCATTTGTGACACCTTTTGCATTGGTTAACACTGCAGACATTATCAGATTAACTGCATGAACTTCACCACTAACAAAAGTGCTAAACAGCAATGCAAGTGAAAAGATTTCTCCTCAAGTCTAGGAAATCACTCTCTCTGTTAACCTTTTTATTACAAATCCCCAGCAAATACACATATATCAATTTCTGTAGTTTAATTTCAAATTCAATGATGAATGGTTTGAAAAGAAAAGATTCCTACATCTTTCCTCCCCTAAGGAGAAATTAAAGTAAAAATTATATTGGGAAGAACCATTTCTCCTCAGCAAACTAGCTCATGGGACCCAAATGTAAATATTTTTCCAGTATGAAGGATTAAAGCACAGCATTTATTATTTCCAGGATCTGGCCATATTTCTTATCCAAGTTTGATTAAAAAAAAATAAGGTTATCTTCTAAACAGAAAACATTTTATTTTCAGCTATGGGCAGCATGGATAAAAATATTTTGAAAAAAAACCAGACTCATGAATATGTATTTAACTGGCTTACTTGAAACTGTTTTATGGTTGCTTCTTCAAGAACCAGTGAGGCTTTTCCCCTGGAAATTGTAACTTTAGTTTCAAATGACTGAATGCAAAGTGATGTTGGTTTCCAAAAACTGCAAAATTGCACCAATTTAAAGTTCTCTTTATTCTACAGTTTTTTCCAAAAGAAAGATTTCTGACTCCTACTGCACATTTAAAGAATAGTGATGATGTTCCTCAAGAAGTGAAAAGAATGGGGCAATCATGCATCTGTGGTAAAGTCTAAAAGCTGTGCAATCATGAAGATTGACTTTCTGATTAGGCCTTGTGATGTAAGAGCTCCCCAACAGATCAGTTCATCCTTTGTCTGGTCCTGCTCCACAGAAGGGAGAAAGTAAGCTCCTATTGACTCCAAATTGTGTAAGATCAGACTTGTTTGTGTATTTATAGGGTCAATTCTATTAACAAAAAAAAAAAAAGAGGTTTCAACACAGATAATGGAAGTGATGATTTGGACTGTTCTGACAAAAGGCTTTTTCATGAAAATCTAGTGTATTAACACTTGTTTGAGAAGCAGAGGTTCCAAAATAAAGTTTAGATGGTGCTTGTCTTTGCAGTGACCTTGTATTTATTGTTGGTCTAAAAATACCCGGACCTTGTCCTACTTCTTACCAAAAACATCTGTAAAGTTTCTGGTT